CGTAGGCCTAGCTAGCGAAATCAGCGACAGTCCGGGGGGGCCGAGCGTCTCGTGCTTAGCACTGACAATGTGTTTACCATTTTTTCTTTCTCTTTTACTCCTTCCCTGTCCTGTATTTTTTCTGGTGTTGCGCTGTAAGTAAGTTCACGATGTTTGCCGAAATTTGCATGACCCACTACATTCATCATTACATATTTCCCCCTCGCTAAAGATGGTGCCAAGTGTTCTAAGGTGTCGTGAGGACAAGTGGTTCGTGATATGGTTTGAGGCGATCCACATGTACGATTTCGCGGCCTCGGCGACGCAGGTCCACAGTGGCCGTGAGGGGTTCGATGAGGTAGTTAACAGCGGAAGTTTGTTCTATGACGCGATAAGGTCCATGGTACCTGCTGACAAACTTTGTAGAGGTACCAGGAGCAGCACTGGGGGGCACCCACAGCCAAACAACAGAGTTGGGCGAAAATTGGTAGTTGGACCGTCCATCGTCGTGACGAAATTTCTGTAGCCCTTGTTCTTGTGTTGTAAGGATGCGAGCTAATTGCCGACATTCTTCCGCATACCGCGCGGCTTCGGAAACTGGTGTGTCTTCGGATGAGTCGGGTCGGTAGGGGAGAATGGTGTCGATTGGAGATGATGGTTCTCGACCATAAAGTAAAAAAGGGAAGAAAAGCCTGTCGTCGCTTGAGGTGCCGTGTTGTAAGCGTACGTTACGTAGGGAAGGATAAGATCCCAGTTGGTGTGTTCGGAGGCGACATAAATAGAAAGCATGTCGCCAAGGGTGAGGTTGAAACGCTCGGTCAAGCCATTTGTTTGTGGGGGATATGCGGTAGTACAGCCGTGAATCACATGGCATTCTGCAAGAAGTTCTTGAATAACATCCGCGAGAAAGACGCGGCCTCGGTCGCTCAAAAGTTGACGTGGAGCGCCATGATGCAGAACAAAACGTTGCAGGTGTGTTACTGTGTTATGTTTTTTGTATGGTAGCGTGTTAATTACAATTGATGTATCAATTCGGCAGACGATATCGTCGTTCAAAAGTAGTCAAGTAAATGTGTGTATTTGTATTGCTCTTGGTTTGTACCGACAGTGTCAGTGTTCGTTCACTCCATGAGTGTGGTGGTGCGACCCGCCAATTCGAGACCCCACACTGGCTGCCCAACGTGGAGCTCTTGGAGTATCGGACGACAATTTTTGCGGTTCGGTACAAGCTTTTGTTAGAGCCAGGGTAGAGTAGGCCTAGGGGGACTTCTTTGCTAGCGTTGGTAGTGTGCTTCGTTGAGAGCGAGGAGATCGGTATTTGTGACGTGTTTGAATTTGTCGGCAGGTTGAGTTTTCATTTTTATTTTTTGCTCGCAAGTGTTGTTCTTTTTTGTTGGTGTTAGTTTTCAAAACCGTTGTTGAATTCGGACGAGAGCCATGCGGTCTGCATCTTGGGGTGAGCAAGGCCTAGAGCACGTGGTTTGTAGGCCAGGCCCGAAGCGAGTGAGTACGGAAGCCTCGGGGTGGTTCGATTTACTGTAAATAGCTTCTTCTATCTCTTTAGGCTCAGGTAGCCTAGCGTCGTTGCTGACTTGTATTGCAGTTCGACGCCAGGGCGTCATGACACCGCCCAGGACGGTGGAGGCCGATCGCTCGGTAAGCAGCTGTGTGCGGCGAGCGATAGGGCCACCTTAAAGAGTGGATGCCTCTTGCGGCTGCCTCTTCTGCGCCTAGGCTGGGTGCTGGGTGGATGCCGGTTGTTGTCGAGTGACTCATTAGGCCTAAGGCTCTGCGCAGCCGCCTGTCGCACGTGGCACAACTAAGTGGATCGTGGCCTTGATGTGTTGCGCTCTGCTTCCCTCACTTTTTTTTTTATCTTGCGATGCAGGAGTTAGGAAAAGTGACCTTTATTTTGATGGGCGTCTCGGCCGCCGCTATTGTATTAGCTAGCAGTACTGCCCATCGTACCACGTGGCCGAAAAGCCCGAATGTATTCAGCAGGAGGGATGTCACCCACGTCCGGCTGTCTTCTGCACATCGTCAGCGTCGCTGGCCAGGAATGCGGTCGTGAGGTCGGGTGATGGAGACGCCTGGGACCTGCGCAACTGCCTGCAGTCCGGCGCCCTTGTGAGTGCTGGTCGCAACTGGAAGACGTGTCGGCGCTAGCGATGGTTCGTCGCGCCGACGGCAATGTTGATGTTGCAGGGCCGGTACTGAGGCGAAGTCGAGCCAAACAGTGCAGCAGTGTCGACTGGCGGCGGTGTCGTGGTGCAAGGAAATTATGGACATGTGATGTCATTTTTTTTTTGAAGCTTGTGTAGCTTATCTTTTTGTTTTCGGGATTTGGTTTGATTTAAGGTTGGGGAAATGTGGGGGTGCTGACACCCCCTGTGAAGTTGTTTGCGCCGTGTGGCGCTAGTGTCTCACTCCAAAGCCGCATTTCGGGTGACGACCGCTAGGCGATAGGTGGCGTTGCACCATTCGCGTTGAGCACCATATCGTCATCACCATCATGGGGTAGCGCCGGCAGTGACCCCTGGCAAAAGTAAGCCTTGGCGGCAGGCAAGAGTTGAGCGAGGCTCAACTCCCGCCCGCCGCCAAGGCATGGCTCAACTCTCGTCCACCTACCAACCAGTTGTCTTCTTGCACATGAGCATTGCACTGATAACTCCTTTCAACGAAGGCTTCCCGGGTATTGTCATAAACCCCTCAGGAATGATGTAAATATGTGTGACCTCCCCAAAAAAACATGATTAATTCCTCCATTATAGCAGTCCGTATAACAAGGAAGTTATGTGTGGCTTTACAGAAGCAGTCGAATGCGTACACTACACCAATAAAAGACAACTTGCATGATGTGTTTGGCAGCTATAGCATCATATAATGTGGATTCATGCACACACAATGATGCAACTACACTAGAATCCCGGTTTTACGTCCCCCGGTTTCCAACGACTCGCATTTAACGACGGATTCGTCCCATTCCGGCGAAAGCCTCATAGACCCAATGCATCAAAAGTCTCAATTATCCGACGCTATTTTACGCCGAACCCGCGTTAGACAACGATCCACGCGAAGCGAGAGGACCAAATGACGAATGAAAAGGAAGTGTCACAGGCGTTTTCAACAATGCGCATAACGGACTGAACTCGCAGTCGTGTATCCACAACCTGCGAACGCAGCTCCATGGGCATCTTCTCGAGCACGTTACCTCCCGGTACAATATGGCTTACCCAATATCGAAGATGCGTGCGCTTTCTCAAACACAAAACCATCAAACACACAACGCACTCCAAGACAGCGGCGACTGGGAAAAAGGCGGCACCGGATCCCGTCTACACAGATGGTGACCCGCGGCGCCTTCTTTCTTCTGTACACGGCGCCAAGGCACATAGTGCATACAAACGGCGGCACTCCGAAAGGCAGCAGCGACTGAGGGAGGGGGCGGTGCTGGCTCGCCCGCGCCAACAGCGATGCGCAGCATTAAAGCACACAGCGCATGCAAATGCTATGAAGGACATGCTTTTAGTCATTTCCAATCTTGAGGGGAAGCTTTTGCGGATGGGCTCAAAGAAAGTACAGAAGAAGCTTACAGATTTTTTAAAAGTGTGTGCCATGTTTCGCTATAGATCTTGGGAATGGCGCCAGCAGATTACGGCACACTCAGGTTCGTTTCAATGAATCCTAACTAGTACCTGCGCGGCAGTATTCCTCTCACTTTTCCCTGTAGAGCTTGTTGATAGTTGACGTTAAAGTTTCTTGCTAATCCGCATGCTAAAACGTTTCTTTGTGGGCGTAAATTTTCATGTTTGGATTTTACGATGCCCGCATGTTACGACGGTTTTGCACAGTCCCGAGAAAGTCGTAAAACCGAATTCTACTGTAGCGTCCATCATTATAAATAAACAAGCTTTTGTGGCCATAGGTGCTTGTTGTAGTTGCAGTAATCAACAGCGAGAGCAGAATCAAAGGAAAGTCACATAACAGCCACAACAGCATCACTGAATGAATGTCGAGCTTAGGATAAGGTTGCCTATTCACAGCATTTTTAGATTTATTAAACACTACTGCCGGACTAGAGGGAACACACCATGCATTGTGTCTCCCTTGTAGGCCAGCCGTGACTTTTCAGGGTGTGTGTATGCGGACTTCCAACCAGGCGAAGCAAGCGCGTCGCAGAGCTATTTATCGAATGGACAGATGCTATGAGCAACGCTTGGGCTAGAACTTCCACTAGACAGTGTGGTAAAGCATCAACGAAATTCGACTTCTCCTATTAGAAACGTGCCAAATGGCATGGACACATAGAAACAATGTGTTGAAAGAGCTAACTGTGAATGTCATGGTTATGGTGCATTTTGACTTTACCAAAAACACTGAGAGAGGACAATGTTAGATAGAAAAGGCGCGTTGTGAAGCATTCAAGTGCATGACCATGGCGCTGTGGATAACGTGCCCAGCATCTGTTGTCGCTGACCAAAAGGTCGCGAGTCTGACGCTTGCTTTTGGTACATTTTTTTTCTTTGTCATCTCCTCGTATGCATTTTTTTAAAACCATTTCCGTGATGGAAATATCTCAGTGACATCTTGGCAGACCACAGCATAAAACACTTTCATGTTGAAATGCATTGCTGAGATAAGGACTCGGCCTTCACACTTTTTTCCTTGTCTGCCAGTAGAGAGCGCTCATGCGGAGCATGCTCATGATGCTGCTGGTAGTTTTCATTCAAAACAGGTTGGTGTCATTGTTGGTGGGAAATTTCACACCAATTGAGGGACATGCATTTTAAAATCGACCAAAAATATGCTCTAGACCATAACAGCCATTGATAACTTGTAGATTATGTGTGTCCACAAAAGTTTATCCCGCAAGTTATCTTGGCTTCAATAGTACTTCTTTCAACAAAGTGTGGCTTCCACCCAATGTACGATTGTGAAAACACAAGCAAGAACACTTGCCTTCACAGTGCAAAATGTAAAATGTGTGCTCCTACAAAAGCCATTTGTGAAATCGTACTCACCCAGCATGCCATCAGCAAAATCAGCTGCCAGACGTGCATCACCCAGCATCACAGGGCAGATGGGGTGGTCGTCACCCTGACAAAACAAAAAGAGAAATAAAGTTGATTGCACTATGTCGTCCAACAAAAAGAGGAATAAAGTTGATTGCACTATGTTGTTGTCCAACTAAAAGAAATGCTTGACATTTCAACTACATCGGATTCCCGTGAATGTAAACGGGCCCAGAGAAATGCAGCCACCCCAGCCGGCCCTAGCGAAAATGCCAATAGAGAAATGTATTGGTCCTGTAGAGAAATAGAGAAATTTTATTGGTTTTATAAGAGCTGTATTGGTACTTCATTGGTCTTATGAGAAATCTATTGACACCAATATAAACCAATTGACCGCACCTATTTGTAACCGATAAGACCAATAAGGTGCCTGCAGGTCGTTGCTATTTGTCACCTATAGAACCACTAGACACGTATTGGTGCCATTTGAGTTTAATAGGAGACAGCGATTTGTCCCCTATCAGACCAATAAATATGTATTGGTACCTATAGGCGACAACTATTGGTGCGTATTGGTGCTCATAGGTTGTAATAGGTGAGACGTATTTGTTGCCTGTAGAATCAATAAACAGTAGCTATATGTCATTTATAAAACTAGCTGGTGTGAATTTCTACTAGAATCAAGAAATTTTGAGGTTATATGTGTAGTATTAAAAGGCTATTCATATATGTATTTCACTTATTGGTAAATTCAATCAAAAGAAAGTTTTGTGAACTTGAGTAATTTCATTCTGCACTCATGATTATGATTATAATGTTTGTAGGCTATATAAGCCCACAAAGTAAGTGTTCACAGAAGGGAAATTTATCATAGAGTTAATAAAAGAATGTCACTAAAGGTAATTTTTTAGCAGGGGGTCACAATGTTTGTGCAGAAGCAGCAGCGTACTGCTTTCCTTCAAAGTGCAAACAGGGTACGAAAATCAACTTTTAACAAAATAACCGAAGTCGAAGTGTACGGTAGAAATTGCCACGGCCTGCTTGAATGTGTATACTCATAATGCCCATCGTCCATTTCAGCCAGTGGGCCAGTGCAGTTATTTGAATAGAAAAAAAAAAACGCGAACAGTATGTCTCCCCCCTGCGCTCGTCGCGTTACTTACACTTGTAGCATTTGTGGTAATAAAAAGACGGGCCATTTATGGTGCATAATATCGAAACTAGCATGACCAAGCTAAGTGCACGGTGAAGACAAATGCGAACGGCGCGGTTCGTGTATCTTTCCGTCGCCCCTGTGTTAGTACATAGGCGAGCTCTTCGAGAACTTGAAAAGTGAACATCGATGTTCACGTTCGCTGCCGTGGATCACAAGTTCGTGCGTGTGCCTCCTGCATTACACGAACCCCCTGCGGTCAGAAAAATTGATGTCGCCGATGCATGAGATAGTTACATAGAAATTATCATTCAGACCTCAGTACAAATTAAAATGGGAAAGGTATAACATTTGAAAGATGCCACAGTGGATACAGGCTTGACGAAATAATAAAAAGATTATAACGTCACAAGAAGGTGCTGTATTTTTTTCATTCTATTTTTATTTCTGCCACTAACATTTCAGTTTGCTATGTTTTTCATAATTTTTTAATGTATTTGCAGCTCAATATATTTGACGAGAGAAAAATATTGCAATAAAAAGTGAGAAAACAAATTCTTGTTTTTGTGGCATCACCCCAGCACGAGTGCTCAAGCCAGCAAGTGTGCAAGCGAGCCGACTACAGCCAGCCGCAGCCGCAGCTATTGTCGGCCAAGTGTGTCAGGCGGCGTGTTCGGGCTCGGTGTTTGTATATATTTAAACATATTTCAAAGTTAAATTGGCACATATGGAATCACGACGACGATGCTGGATTGGTCATGAACATCAAAGTAGTTACAGTCCCAAAAGCTGCGTCTCGAACTTAACCAGCAATGAATGGTGCCGGTGCCGGCATGATGCCCACCAAGGTGATTTCTTCCGAGCGCATACCCTGCTTTTGATAGGTAAGAGAACTGCTTTTTATATTTGTTAGTCAGTATAAGTTGCTTTTCTTGTGTTTCTAATTTGTTTATTTGCCAGCCATCAAAGTGCGTCCCCGTTAAAGGTGTTTGGCCGCTTTATTTGTTCAGTAGTTTTTCCACTCTACAGTACAACACTTTTGAACATTTTGTGGGCTGTTAGCATACCCACACTGGCATAAATGCACGTTATTTACTAGCACATTGTTCTAATGATAATTCAAAAAGACTAAAATATGTAATGTCTTTGTTCAATTATAATCGTAAAGTTTGGGGCTAGGGAAAAAACTAAGCTTATTGCCAACAAAAACACTGCACGGCTCTCCCATCAATAATTTACATTCATGCTCACTGAACTAAGTGGGCACGGCGAAACGGCTGCAACCATGCCGCTAACCAAGAAGTTTGTTCTCGCAGTGCAGGTTTTCCTGTTAGCGATCGCCGGCGTACCAACTTCCTGCAACGTGTGCCTTGGACCCAGTGCGACCAACGCAAGCTCAGACACACGGCCGCAGTCAAGATCAACATTCACGCCAGGCATGTTGGACACCCCTCTTCAGGATCTGCGCATGTCAGTGATGTCATGCACCATGGACAGTATAAAAGCACTACCACAGAACTACTACACCAGTGGGCACGGCGAAGCGGCTGCGACCATGCCGCTAACGAAGGAGTTTGTTCTCGCTGTGCAGGTTAGTTGTTCATTCTCTACAATTATGAGTGGAGATGAGTTGTTTTTATTGGTTTTGCCGTGCCCAGGCGCTTGTTTGAGTATTGCCTATGACTGTTACGTAGCTCTTGCAATTTTGATTTGGGGCGATGTTGAAAGCAACCCGGGTCCCTCCACAGCTGATATTTTACAGAATGTACTGAAAGGACAGGCCGATATTCACGCAGAGGTTACTCAAATGAAAAATAGGTTTAGCGAGTGTGTACAGCTCATTCGTGATCTTGACTCATGTTTAAAATCACTAGAGCAACTTATGAAAGAATAAAAAAAAGCTTGCCACTAATTACAGCGCTTCAATCGTCGTCATTATCCTTTCAAAATTTAGTGGCCTTGCAAAGCAGAAAACTTGTTGACCTTGAAGATCGCAGTCGAAGGTCAAACATAATCGTTTATGGCATTTTGGAAAATAGCGGAGAAAACAAGGCATCATTAAGAAAAAGTGTTGGAGACATTTTTGAGAAAAAACTTGGAGTTAAATGTGAGTCTATAGCCCGTATTCACTGCCTTGGCCGCCGTGCCGGCCGACGCCCAGTAATAGCCTATTTTCAAGATTTTAATGAAAAGCCGGCTGTCATTCAAAATACAAACACACTTAAAGAGACAAACATTTTCATTCAAAATGACTACAGTCATGAAACACTGCGCGTGCGCAAGATTCTTTGGGATAGCGCCAAAGTTGACTGAGTGAATAAGAAGTGCGTATCTCTTTTGCATGATAAGTTGAAAATTGATGACACCATCTTTGTATAGGATGATACCAGAAATGAATGTGTAGCACTTCCAAAGCAGCGGGACGCCTTTCGTTGACGTACAACGGGTGCAGAGGCAAAATATTTATTTATTTATTTATTTATTTATTTCAGGTACCCTCATGGCCCAGAGGGCATTGTTGAGGGGAGTGGTACAGAATCAGGATGTTGAAAGGTGTACGAATTGTACAAATATTGCACACATATGAGCAAATATACAAAAGCACTGAACAAACAAGTATCCAGCGGTGCGTACAAGTATACAAAAGTTTAACACAAATCTACACAGGTATTGCCTCTAGCATGAAAAGATAACAAAACTAACATTGACAACTGCATGCATATGACACATTATAAGGTAAATAAACACTGTGAAGTTCAAGCTACACAGAAGTGAAGTAATCAGACACTTTTTTCCTAAACTGGTCAATATTGTTAGTAAGCACTAGGGATGGTGGCAAGCGATTCCACTCTGATGTAGTTCTAGGAATAAACGAATTTGAATATGATACAGTGCGACATTTCGGGATACCAACTTTGCAAGAATGATCTATGCGCAATGAAACATGAGCAGGGGGTAAGATAAGAGCAGTTTTAGGGGTGGCGTTCAATTTATAGATTTTAAAGAAAAGGCACATGCGCGATATCTTCCTGCGCAGTGTGAGTGGTTCAAGAGATAGAGTTGCTTTCATTTGCGTTACGCTTGATAAACGGCCGTAATCGTGAAGGATGAAACGCGATGCTCTGTTTTGGGTTGCTTCAAGTGCATTTATTAGTGAATTATTGCATGGATACCATACTGAAGACGCATATTCGAGTTTAGATCGAACAAGTGACTTGTACAATAACAGTTTAACAGAAGCGGGGGCTAGAGAAAAATGTCGCCGAATAAAACCAAGTGTCCGGTTAGCACTTAAGATAATAGAGGAGACATGCATATTCCAACTCAGGTCTGCTGTTAAAATAACCCCGAGGTATTTATAGGACGACACTGGTAGCAATAGGGAGCTACTTATACTGTAAGAGGAAGGGTTTAATTTACGTTGGCGTGAGAACCGCATTACTTTACATTTATTAGTGTCATATGCCAAGTCGAGCACCAATTATTGATAGCGTCAAGGTCCTGTTGAAGCAAAGAAACGTCAGTAGCATTTTTTATTTCGCGGTAAATAACACAGTCATCGGCAAAAAGTTTCACAGAAGAAGTCGGATTGCTAGGCAGGTCATTAATATATATAAGAAAAAGCAGTGGACCTAAAACTGAGCCTTGTGGGACGCCTGAAGTGACAGGTAGAGTCGAAGAGTTAAAACCATTAACATGAACAAATTGAGAGCGATCTGTTAGAAAACATCTAATCCACTTAAGAACGTTAGGGTCGATATTCAGTTGGCTTAGTTTGTGAAGAAGCAGGCTGTGGGGAACTTTATCGAATGACTCACAAAAGTCTATGAATATGCAATCAGCTGCGGAACCATTATCAAGTACAAAATGAAGGTTGTTTGTGAAGGCTACCAACTGCGCTTCACACGAAAATAATTTTCTAAAGCCATGTTGCTCAAGTGAAAAAAATGAGAATGATTCAAGAAATTTTGCCAAGTGGGAAGTTTGAAGTTTGAAGTTTATTTATTATTAACGATGACTTGTTCAAATATTTTACAAGAAATACTCGTTAACGAAATGGGGCGATAGTTCGAAGCAGAATGTTTGTCACCAGATTTATGGAGTGGAATCACTTTACCTATTTTCCAGTCATCTGGAATCTCCCTTGACTGAAGAGACAGATTAAATATTTAGGACAATATTATAGCAGAATAAACCGAGGTGTTTTTGAGCACTTTTGTATTAATGTCATTGGAACCACAACTAGAAGATAATTTTAGGCTCTCAATAATGCGTACAATGCCATCAAAATCAAAATGAACAGGGTCCATGGGGAAATCATAATGAGTGTGACAGGTAGGGAGTGACGAGTTAGTACAACTGGAAAATGCTTTTGCAAACGTGTCATTCAGAGCGGCGGCGCAATCAGCGTTGCTAATTCGGTTTGACTGCAAATCAACAAGAGAAATTGTCGAATCATCTGTATCCTTAATCAGACTCCAGAATTTTTTAGGGTTTGCGGAAAGAAGTTCAGGTAATGTAACTTTCATAAACTTATGTTTTGCTTGCTTTAAAGCTTTCTTATATGTACATACGACATCCTTAAGTGCTGACCAGTGCTCCGATTTTCGAGACCGCTTTGCTCTGATGAAGAAATGCCTTTTTTGTCAGCAAGGGGTTTTAATGCATGGCTGAACCATGGAAACTGACGGTTAGTGGTAATGACCTTTAGGGGAATATGATGTTTAATTAAATTGCGAATTGTACTTTTAAACAGGTGCCAGTTTTCAGAGACCGATCTCTCGTCGAAACCAACAAGAAACTCATCCAGAAAAGTCTTCAGCCCATCATTAATGGCCGAAAAGTTAGCCTTTCCGTAATCGTAAATAACCTTAGGGTTATTATGGGACAAACGAGTTGGGACATTCAACATTACGTGTATTACGGAGTGATCGCTAATTTTCGGTAAATAGCTGGTGTCGGTGACAAGATCGGGAGCTGTTGTTAACAATAGGTCAAGTGTGTTAGACGTGGAATCAGTTATTCTTGTTGGCTCAGTGATAACTTGAGTCAAAGAAAACGTTGAACAGAGTGCCACAAAATTTGATGATTCGCATGTTTCTTCACTTGAGATAGCGGGTGACTGCCAGTAAACATCGGGAAAATTGAAGTCACCGAAAAGAAATATCTGCTGATTAGAAAACTTTGTGTGAATGGTGTTAAGAGTGTCGTGAAGATCATTACAAAAGCCTAGTGGCGTAGACGGCGGACGATAACATACACAGAGTAGAAACTTCGTGAAGTTAACAGATATTTGGACGCAAGTGAACTCAAGATTTGTAGTGACATTGACTTGTGAGCATTCAAAATTGTGGTTAACATCAACTAAGACACCACCGCCACGCTCTGAGGAGCGATCGCATCGGAAAATATTGTAGCACTTTTGAGCAGAAAAAAATTTCACTGTTCCGTACAGATTCGTTCAACCAAGTCTCAGTTAATACAATAATGTCAGCGGCAGTAGTGTCAGCAGCACAAGAAATAGAATCGTGGTTACGGACTACACTTCGTATGTTAGTGAAAAGGATACTAAATTTTAATGCTCGGATATAAGGATACTAAATTTTAATGCTCGGAGCCTTGTAAATAAAATTGGCGAACTTGAACTGTTGCTTGTTGAACATGATCCACACATAACAGTAATCACGGAAACCTGGTTAAATGACAACGTTTGTGATTCCGTTTTAATACCGCCGAACTAGAGCATTTTCCGTTGTGATCGGCCAAGTAGGGGCGGCGGCGTAGCCATTGTTTTACGGCATCCATTGACAAGTGTTGTTATAAACCAAAACGATGGTCATGAAAGTTTGTTCCTCAGAGTAAACTGCTGGGGCCATGTCTTTATCGTGTGTGCTGTGTATAGGCCTCCATCGGCTTCCCCTGAATACATTTCCAAACTGTGCGATCATATGGCTCAGTTTTCGAACAACAGGGTGATACTCACCGGTGATTTTAATATTATGTGCAATGATTGGCGTGACCCTGTTTCCTTTTTAGATGTGGACATTAACCCTCTTGTGGATATTATGATTACGTGAATACTACCGGTGATGCCCAAGGACTTTTTGACGGCTGAATAACGTCATCCTAAAGCATCTTTCGCACCTGACTTTCTATTGCCTCACGTTCCCATGGAGCTACGCGGTATGGGTTCTGCCATATGGGTCTGGCCGTTTCATCCGTAATTATGCAATGTTTCGTCAACGGCGTTTGGCGAACTCTGGACGTCGAAGAAAAACAGTCCTGAAACTCATTAATAAGCTTCAGAAGGCTTTGCTTCTGTGGGGGCAGTAAACTTGGGCCAACGTCGATGAATAAAGGGGCTCACCCGGTGACATCGGCTTTCTCCACAGTTAAGCAGCCTGCACCCTCAATGGGCACCTCGACGTACGCCACTGCCATACCTCTTGCAAGATGTCGTCGCTCAGTACTGAAGTTCGTAACCAGAACGTGCGTGTGTCCGCAATTGAGGCTTACGACGGCTCTTGCAACAGATAGGCCATGGCTGAATAGCAATGCTGGAATTTGTTCAGCGATGTGGTCGAAGTTGCC